ATTATATATATATATGTGTGTGTATATATGTATATACAGGTAAATATATGTATACAAGTATATACATGTATATATGTGTCTATATGTATACCTGTATATATAAGTACACATATATACATGTATATATATATATATACCCATCATGTATATATACATATATATATATATATATATATATATATATATAAATGTATACATGTATATATATGTATACATGTATATATTCGTCTGTATACATGTATATATATATGCATATATATATGTATACATTTATATATATGTATGTATACATGCATATATGTATGCGTGTATGTTTGTATACATGTATATATGTATATGTATACATGTATATATATATATATATATATATATATATATATATATATATATATATATATGTGTGTTTATATCTAAAATGTATATATATATATGTGTGTATATATATATATATATACATGTATATATATACATGTATATATGTAAATATATATACATACATTTATATATATATATATATATATATATATACATGTATATATGTGTATATATATATATACATGTATATATGTATTTACAAATGTATATATATATATGCATATATATATATTTATAAACATGTATATATATATATATATATATATATATATATATATATATACATATATATATATATATATATATATATATATATATATATATATATATATAGGAGGCACCAAAGGTAGTGTATAGTGGCTCGGATTGTGCTGGAAGCATTCAGGAAAGGTATGAATCCTCTTTTCCCTCCAACTATGGGTAAATATCAGGACACACTGGGTTCTATAGCCTTGGATGGCAACTGATCTAGGAGAAGGACAAACTCTGAATTCAAAACCTGCGGAGGGTCGTTTGGGGACCTTGTAGTACGTAGTACACCAGGTCTCTGTATTTGGCTCTTCAAAATGTGTGATTGGTTCTGCACAAAGCCTTCACCACTATAATCAAATCATATGTGCTGTTGTCTGGGCTGTCGGTTCCTAGAACTGAGCTGCTTGACCCTCACACGTCGAATACGACGGTGTGTTGAAACATATATAATGCTATATATATATATATATATATATATATATATATATATATATATATATATATATGTGCATTTTTTTTCGCTCCCAGGTAGAGCACCCTCTACCATTATTTTTAAATAAATATGCGAAAAAACAAATTTCAGAATCTCTCTGAAAAAACATTCTCAATACAAACAGACAGGATTATTTAGTTAAATTGATGTAAAAACTTATGATTTAATTAGAAGATTGAGATGTAAACCGCATTTCTTTCATTATAAGTATAGCTTGAATTATATGTATTTAAAACAAAATCGCTGCACCATTTATTAAAAGGTTGTTTGTGTTTGAAAATGATTTACTGGATATAGTGAATAATATCTCATTTCATAAAAGAAAAGTTTATTTCCTAGGACATCTTGATTGGGTACTAAATGATATAAATAAAACCGATAAAGTCAGATAAAACAGTAATCTTTTTATAAAATAACGGCTAAGGAGTATAATAAACTAAATACAAAAAATTTTAAAAACTATAGAAAAGTAAATAACAGTTTAGTTGATTTGGTAGAAAGTATAAATTAGTCAGTCAGTTATGTGCCATGCATGATACAAGCTTAGGCGATCATGTATCTTTCGATACATGGATGACGTGGCAGGTTTTTCTCTCGCAGTAGGTTGCCATTTCTTTCTGCAATAGACCAGTTGCTATCCGTTCTGTCCTGCAATTTATCCATAGCCTGGGGGTAGTAGAAGAGGATACATATTGTTACCAAGAGTATTAGCACTTAAGTGAATGTAATGGATTCAACTGGAATTCGAACTCCGCTATCCGATTCCAAGCCGCTATCCACTGCTCCACCGTGCCTCTGTAGAAAGTGTAAATACATCTAGTAAATAGATCACAGATAAACTAGAAATTAGTGATAGAGTCAGTAAACTTACCACAAATGAATGTTACATTACCATCAAGGGCCACAAACTTGTCTTTGAAACAAATCCTACCACCAGGATCAGAAATCCTATTAGGCTTGATATTGGCAGAGTAAGTAAAATAATCCTCGAAAGGGTAGATAAACAAATTAAGGAGTACCTTGGATTAACGCAATGGATTAACACCACCTAAATTGTAATATAAAAGATAAAACCAATTGTTCCCTAATCCAGTTTGATATCGAGGAATATTACCGGTCAATTTCAAAGGAACTTTTTACATCGGCTCTAGAATTCACCACTGTGTATTCGGATCTAAGAATACTGATAATCTAAGAAAAATTATAAAAAAACATAATAAAATTGTAAATAAACACTAAATAAAAAATAATACTAATTCCAAATCAAAAAACAATAATATTGATAATATATTACGTAATTGTAGAAATCCCATAAATTGTCAATAGGAAAATAAATGTTTTACTGAATTTATTGTTTAACAGTGCACCATTTCATCTAGTCAAAACCCAAATGTTAAGAAATTTTATAGTGGAAACACAAAGAACCCTTTCAAAAAAGATGGTATGAACATATTTCTTCTTTTAATAACAAAGGGTACCGAAACCGAAATCTCCTCTCAAAATATTTCTGGTATTTAAAAGAATTTTTTTTTTTTAAATATTAAAAACAAATAGAATTTATATGTCATTAAATGACCCATGTCTCCTGTGTTTACATGAAAAGTTACATATTATTAAGTTTCCTAAAAGTAATGATCTATTAAATCAATGAAATGAATTGACCGTAATATGCAGGCATTATACAATGTTTACGTTAAAATATTGTTAATATAATTTTTCTAATAAAAAAACTATATGTTATAATTATATATTCATTACTTTATTATATATAACAGTTCATATAATATTTATTTAATTCCTTGATTTTAATTTTAATACTGCCATGTCCTATGACCCATTAAATAAAATAAGTAAAATATTTTAATATGAAAATAATATATTTGATTTAATCATACTGAAAGCCCCTTTAAGGGAATTCTAAAGTATAAACAATAATAATTCTAAAAAGTAAAATCCTAAAATTAACGTTTTCTTGGATACACTTTTCTTTGCATTTAAAATCATATTCTTAACCGGATGTAAATTGGTGACATGTCTACAAACGACGGTTCATCCAGACAAGTTTGAATAACACGCACAACCTAACCTACACTTTTCGGCTTTAGCTTTGACCTGTCTTTTCATTGATCAAAGAAGACAAACCAATCAAAATTTTGAAATCTTGTTCCTCCTTCCTTCTTAACTCTTAAATAAAATAACATTCTGTTTTCAAAAGTAAATCATTTTCATCAAAAGTTATCCAACATCGCTTGAAAATGGAACAGATTTAAGTTTGGAAACAAAAATTTCCGTGTCGTGATGTAAAATATTTTTAAATAAAAATATTATAATATTATGCTGAATGTTGCATCGAGGACTTTTTAAAAAATAAATACTAAAGAACTGGAGATTCTAAACCTTTCTCTTTATTTGGACCTATATATATATATATAAATGTGTGTGTGTGTGTGTGTGTGTGTGTGTGTGTGTGTGTGTGTGTGTGTGTGTGTGTGTGTGTGTGTATTTCGGCAGTATATTTTCATTAAGACAGGTTTCGTTAAATAATTTAGACATTTTCTGTCTACTTATTTTTGATAGGATCCTTTCATATTCGAGGATAAGTTTTTTGTGTGGTTATTAAAAGACTACAGGAAAACACTGTATAGGCTCATATTGTATTTATTCCGAGTACTTTCGACATAGCATAATGTCATCATAAGGGTATTGTTAACTATAGAACTGTGACAGAGAGAGAGAGAGAGAGAGAGAGAGAGAGTCTGGGAAACACACACATGTATATATATATATATATATATATATATATTAGTGAAATTGGAGTAGATTTGAATTGCGAAATTAAATCAGAGTATTTTGTTTACTGATGGGAAAATCTGATCAAGGACAGAAGTTGTACCCATTGAATCTGGGCCATCTGAAGACAATGGAAATGGTCGAAATAATTTTTATCGATTAAAAATTGAAATAGAGCTAAATAAGCTAGAAGGAACTTTGGAATTCACATGATTTTGGTTGAAGCAGCCAGAACCCCGTGATAATCGCGTGCGAAGTAGTAGGGCCAAGGGTCAGTTATAACCAGCCGGGTTTATCTATATAAACGTGTGGTTATGCTGAAAAAGACAGACGGGAGAAAATTATTGAAGAGAGAAGAGAGAATTGGCCCGGGCGAGCGTTGGGAGGAGGAACGCCACTATAACTTTAAACCCTGCACAGAAATCTTTATCCCTCCATCGCAAGAGTCATATATCGTTCTGAGACGATTTAACAACAAGATAATCATATGCACTCTCTCTCTCTCTCTCTCTCTCTCTCTCTCTCTCTCTCTCTGCTCTCTCTGTGTTTAGAATCCAGTGTATGAGTTTTTTGTTTTGTTTTGTTTTTTTTTACTTTCTTTTCTGTAACCCGTTTCTCTTCTCTACTATTCTTTTCTGCTATATAAAAGACATTACCAATTCAACCACTGAATCGATGTTTGTCCGGCTTTCTGCAGATATTAATTTTTTTTGCTGCATTCTAAATTTCTTAGTGCCGACTCCCCAGCCGTGTCTACATCTTCAGTCAACCGTGAATGGACGGACATCACTTCTGCTTTCTGGATCAAAAAATCACAACGTGGGCAGGAAGCAGGATTAAACCAGCGGACCGGTCGAATAATCTACGGATGCTCAGGGGACCTACGGTCACTCCCTTAAGTTCAGTTAGGACCGAGTAGACACCTAAAGCCCGAGAGTAAGACGCCGGAGGTTGAAGGGCCAGGGTGAAAGTGTTAGACTGGTGCCGTGACCAGTGGGAATTACCACAGCCGTCGCAAAGAGGAGAGAAGGTTGTATTTGTTTTGTCCAGTCGGAACCGAGTAAGACCAGAAAGGACTCTAGTCTTCGGACTATATTGGTCTATAAGGGTCGTAAGAAGGAAAAGAGAAGGGAAGCAAAAGAAGGATGGAAAAGAAACAAAACACGGAGTGTCGGATCTCAGGTAAGTCACTTTTTCGTTTCCTTTGTTCGCTCATTGCACTTATATCTGCCAGTAATATTGTTGATCTTGTTTTGACTTTGTTGACTTTGCAGTTGAAGCGCCACCACTGTGTTAAGTATTTTTCCTTTCGTTCGGTCGTTGGTCTCTTCTCGTGGGAAAGTGGTAATTGACAAGAGGCTCGGATCAGACGCTACAGATGACCTTGGGGACGTGGAAGTCCCCGAAATATCGATGGGTTTCAGGAGGCTGATAGGTAGCATGAAGCTACCTACTTATAAAGGAAACCCTGCGGACCTGCACGAATGGATTCTGTCGATTCAGAAGAAGCAAGTGATCTATGGCCTCTCGGACCAAAACATGGTGCTCCTAGATTACGACGCCGCAGCGGGGCAGGTGTCCAAGTTCATATGGGGGTGGTACAAAGAAAACGCGGCCCTGACGTGGACCGAGCTTAAATCCGCTCTGGTGCGGCAATACGCAAGTAAGCGTACGGCCATTGAGGCAGTCAGGAAATTATTCGGTCTACAGCAACGAGAAGGGGAGACTAATGAGGAATTGGGGGAAAGAATCGCGGGGCTAGCGGCGTTAGCTTTTCCGGAGTTGGCGACTCGGGACAGTGGTCCTATTCAGGCCTTGTTGGCTGATATGTATGTGGACGCACTGAGTGACAGGGACCTGAGGGTCGATGTTCTGAAGTGGGGACCGGTCAGCCTGGCCGCAGCCATAGAGACGGCTCGGACCAGCGAACGACTCTGGGATAGAATAAGAGGGGGTGTAGGTAGGAACAAGGTAGTGATGAAAAAGAAGGACCGGGTGCGGATCCAGATACGGGACCCGAAAGAAGAGGTGGAAGAGGAGTGGAAGGCTGAGGCAGTTACTGATAGGAGAGCCTGGGACCTGTGTTATGGGTTTCACAAGTCCACACCGGGCCGATATGGGCAAGTATGGTGGGCATCGGGCCCGCGACTGTCCGACAAACTATGGAGGCGACCCAAGGTCTTTGGGGCCGAATTGCACGACTTGTGGAGAGTTCGGGAACAAGGCTCGGTGGTGTACGGCAGAGAGAAACCGTAAATTGGGGATAAAGCAAGTTAATACGCTGGTACTCCCTAAGAAGGAAAAGGTTCCGGGAAACGCCGATGGGTCACTCGTGAAAAATTAAAAGGCTGGGTGGCTCCAGTGCAAGTAAGACGTCTGAGATGCTAGACATGAGGTGTGATCGGGCACTTTTCGGCTAGTTGTAAGGAGCGAAGGTGTTGGCGCTGAGGAGGAGCGGGTCACCTGAACTGAATCTGTCCTCGCAGGAGAAAGATGGACCACACCGAACGGAACAACACTAACTCGAATGGAGGGGAGAAATGGGTTGCTAGTCCAAGAAAAGAGGGTCATCCGAGCTCTACCCCACCAAGGAGGGGCCCTAGGTAGAAATTGGAGGCCCTAGAAAAAGGTGAACTCCTGTCACCGACCCCCACGTCTCGGTTGTCGAGAAAGTGGGAGGATGGGAGAGAACATACGGGAAGGAGAAAGGCAAAGGAAAGGCCAGACTTCACCTGTAATGTGTTGCTGGGAGACAAGAAGGTGAAGGTCCTTGTCGATACTGAAGCTTCAGTGTCACTGGTTAGCTCCAAGGTTTTTATACAGTTGGGACTGAAAACGAAGCTTAGTCCCGCCGATCTACTAATAAGCCAGGCTGATAGTAGCAGGAGGAGGATAGAGGGTATGACGTGGCTACCTTTCCCGTTGGCAAGAACCAGAGGTAAACTTAAGGTTTATGTGGCACCTAGCTTGTGTGCTGAGCTAATTTTGGGGAGAGACTGGCTTAGGCAGAATAAGGCACAGATCCTTTTTCGACGCGGGGTAACATTGGACGGGGTAGGGATACTGTTGGGAGAGTATAATTATGAACAGTTGCCAGTGGTGGCCCAGACAGATATAAAGCTTCTCCTTAGGACTACTGTATCTGGGAAGGGCAAGATTATAACAGAAGGAGTGCTGAACAGTTACCTGTACCAAGTGGTCCCTACTGATAGGTATGATAATAGTGAAGGGGAAATAACCGTGTGTGGTTCGTTGGTGAAGAGATTGTGGACCGTTCCCTTGCTGTTAACCAATACTGCCAATAAAACTATTAAAATAAAGCAGGGAGAGGAGCTGGCACGGGCGTGCCCAGTGAGAGAAGTCGAACAGGTGAGAGTATGGAATGAGAATAGGCCTGGGAATAAGACAGGTAGCGATGAAATAAAAGATGAAGATATAACAGCTCCTGAGCGTTATAGGAGGAAATTGAGGGGTTGCTGAACGGTAATCGGGAGGTAATAGCCATTACGGATAAGGAACTGGGACAGATGGAGACAGCTAAAATAAGATAGACACGGGTAATCACCCGCTTATTAAGTTAAGACCGTATAGGACCCCAATCCACAAAAGAAAATTAGTAGAGGACGCAGTGAATGAAATGATGGAATCATGGATAATCGAAAGATCCAAATCTCCCTGGAGTTTTCCAATAGTGATTGTTGAAAAGAAGGATAGAGGGCATAGATTTTGTGTGGATTTTCGTCAATTAAATGTCATTACGAAACCGCTGGCAGTGCCCTTCTCCTTGATTGATGATATTCTAGCTCTTTTAGGAGAGTCTAAATGTTTTTCCACCTTGAATTTGAGGTCGGGATATTGGCAGGTAGCACTTAGCAAAAAGGATCAGGAAAAAACCGCTTTTACCTGCCACATGGGTATCTTCAATTTTAGGGTTATGCCGTTTGGGTTAGCAAATGCCCCAGGTGTATTTAGTCAGTTAATGTCCATCGTATTGAATGGCACTGAGGCATTTGCCATGGCGTATCTAGATGACATGGTGTTTTCAAAATCACTGGAGGAACATTTTGAACATCTGCAGGTGTTCGATAGGTTAAGAGAACATGGATTAAAGTTAATATTATCAAAGTATCAGTTTATGGAAGAAGAGACAAAGTACTTAGAGTTTATCATAAACAAAGAAGGAATAAAGACGGATTTAGACAAAGTAGAGGTTATAAGAGCCATGTCCGCGCCGAAGACCGTAAGAGAGATTAGGGGATTTATTGGAGCCATTGGATATTATCGGAGGTTCATACCAGCATTTAGTCGGCTAGCAGGCCCTCTAATAGCTCTAACTAAGAAGCATACTAGGTTTAAGTGAACCGAGGATTGTCAGCGTGCATTCGAGGATCTAAAGGACCAGCTGATAGCTGTATCTCTATTGGCCTACCCAGACCTGAGTAAGCCCATGGTGCTGTACACCGATGCTAGCGATAAGTGCATCAGGGCGGTTCTTACACAACCATGTCCCGATAAGGATGGACCAGTACCGGGTGTGCTTGAGGAAGTGCTTATCTATTTTCTGTCTCATCGGCTATCCGAGACTCAGCAAAGGTGACCAGTAATAGAAAAAGAGGCGTTCGCCATTCTGTACGCTGTGCAGAAATTAGATTATTATTTGAGCTGGGCTGTGTTTACCATTGAAACAGACCACAAACCCCTCAAATACTTCTTAGAGGCGGAGTTGACGAATAAGAAGATACAACAGTGGGCATTGAAGTTAAGTGGATATAACTGCAGAATAGAATATTTGGCATGGAAGGATAATACCTGTGCTGACCTGTTATCGAGGATTCCGAGGCAATTAGAGACCGAATCTGTCAGGTTGCAGCCGGGTGTTGATGATAAAGCATTCCAAATTAATGTGATCAATTCGCAGACGTTGAAGGAGAGACTTGGTTGGGAAGATCAGGAAACGAGTGAAACGAAAGTTGTTTCCGACCCCCACTGGAGAGATATTATTAGGCAAAACCAAGAGGATAGCGAGATAGCAACTATCAGGTCCAGGGCAGAGGCAGGGCGTACCTCCAAATATATGGTGCACGAGGGAGTGTTGTATTACCTTTCAGGAAGAGATGAGGAAGTAATCTTAAAAATGGGGATACCTGAGAAGTTGACAGCTGAAATTTTAGACCAGTGCCATAGGAGGTTAGGACACCTGGGAATTGATAAGACGTATGGATTAATAATGACAAATTACTACTGGCTTAAGTTGTTTAATGATGTTGTGAACCATGTAAAAAAATGTGTAACATGCCAAGTACAGAGTCGGAGTAGGGTTGCCCCAGTATTAGAAACGGATGTTCCGAATTATCAATTTCAGAAAGTAAGCATGGATATTTCTGGGCCCTATGGAGAAACACATAGAGATAATCTTTACATAATGAGTTTTGTGGACTGGCTGACGAATTGGCCTGAGGCATTTGCCATACCAGATAAGAAGGCACGAACGGTGTCAGATATAATACTGAACGAAATATTCCCTAGGTATGTGGCCCCCGAACAGTTGGTTACCGATAATGGATCGGAGAATGTGAATCAGGTTATGAGAGAGACGTTGAGAGAATTAAACATATGACACATAACCACCTCTCCATATCACCCCCAAAGTAACGCCAAGGTAGAAAGATTTCATAAGACCCTCGCTGATGTGTTAGATAAACTAACAGAGGATAATAGGGGAAATTGGGATTTATTCGTAACCCAAGCGTTAGCAGCTGTGAGATTCTCGATGAACGAGACGACAAAATTTTCCCCTTATTACTTGATATATGACATGGATGTAGTCTTACCTATAGACAATCTGTTACGACCTAGGAGGAAGTATTTAGGAGAGGATCATCACCAAATAGTTTTAGAACAACAACATAAAATTTTTACGCAGGTGAGGAGGAGGATTCAAAGAGCCCAGAAAAGGCGAAACGATAGGATAAATAAAAATAGAGAAGTTTCCTTCCAGAAATGTGATCCAGTGTATTATAAAATACACCTGAGAGAAGGTAAATTAGACCAGAGATGGAGTCCATACTATAAGATCGTGGAGCAGACGGGTCCGGTTTCCTTTGTGATCTGGGACCAATTGATCGGACAGGTAAAGAGAGTGCATGTGAATGATATAAAGCTAGCCGAAAATGGAAAGAAGCCGAAACAAAAACTCAACAGAAAAGGCTGAGGAAATCTACGTTGGTAGAACCCGAAGGGTTAGAGACTGAGAGTGAAATCGAAGGGAGTGAGGAGATTGAAATTAGTCCAACTACCCTTTGAAGGATGAGGGAGGTAAATCGGACCCCAGCGGGACATTCTGAGGAAGCAGGGATTGAGCCTAATCTTAGGGAAGAAGAAGAACTGAGTGAATGGGAAGAAGAGGATGGAATTCCGTTAGCTCAATTGTAGAGTAAATTGCGGGCGTAAAAAGTACCTAGTGTTAATGTGGAATTACCACTAAAACTACGATTAAGGAGGGGGCGATGCAGCCCGAGCCCAAAGATCAAGTGAAAACAATACAGTGGCTGTGGTGAATGAGTGACGGTCTGGGACTAACTGTGCATTTATTATCGGTGCTGGTGAACTGTGTGGACGCGCCCCATGCATGCACGACGCTGGTGGTGGTATGGGTCGGTGCTTGAGGTATCGTTCTGAGATGTAACCACCCGATAAAAACAATAAAAGAATGATTGAGTAAGACAAATTATTCTCTCCATCTCCTTGCAGAAATGGACGAGAAGAGGCTCGTGGTACTGACAATGCTAGTTGTGGTAGCTAATACCTGGGAACACAGTGAGAATACTGTATAGCGAGATGATTATAACTAGATCAAAGTCGTTGATAACTTTGGTGATAGACCTGCAGCCGTATGAGAAGTTACTGGGTCAGTTGAAGACCGAAGTGGACAAACTAGATACAGCCAGGACACAAGTCGCCGGAGAATATTTACAGACTCCGGAATACCACCGTATATTATACCCCTTAGCTCAGGAATCCCTAATACTTGAGAGACAATGGAAGGATATAAGTTACTATTTGAAAGGAATAAATTTGTTATGGACCAGGCAAAAGAAGGCAATATTACCTATAATTGGAAAGGCATTAAGCGTGTTGTTTGGTACAGTCTCCAAAGACGAAGTGAGAGTAATTAAGAGGAAATTAAAGGTGGTAGAACAGAGACAACAAGCAATGGCTCAGTGGGTTAAAGAGAGGGTATCTATACTCAATGTTAATAGGCTGGAATTGGCTAAGAATAGAGGGAGTATTAATTGGCTGATTTCTCACCTACAGGTTTTTAGAAAAGAAGTGATAAATGTAAACACATCTGTAACAACCGAATTACAGAAATTAGAGGGTATTTTTGCAAAGATATTTTCAATTATTAGCTATAAGTAAGGTACGTCAAACAAGTCACTCTTTAACGGTGTTGTTAGAGCATGTAAGAGCACAACTAGACATGCTGTCACTGGGACACCTGTCTCCGAGTATAATAACCCCAGAACGATTAACGGAAATACTACTGGAGATACAAGCCAAACTACCCCACCATCTTAGATTACCTGTAGACCCCACCCAGCAGTTATGAAGGTATTATAGTGCCTTGTTGGAAGATGACAAATTGCTAGTGCTAGTGTCGGTTCCATTACTGGACAGAAATAGTACCTTTGAAATTTATCAGGTGATGAATCTTCCCCTTCCCTATCCAAAACTAAGGCCAAAGATAGGAGGCGGTGGCTAGGTACAAGGTAGAGACGGAATTTGCTGCCTTAAACCTAACCAGGACAGAGTTTATGCTATTAACAAAGGAAGAAGCAGAAAAAGGCAAGAATGATGCCTTTGGTATCTGTGTGTCTGTAAGTCCAATTTACGTGACAGGTAGTCATAATCTGTGTGTACTAGATTTATTTAAGAAAAATAAGAAGGGAATTAGAGATCATTGTCAGGTAGAGGTGTTGGCTAGTGTAATGTTACCTAAAGCAACCAGTGTCTCTGACGGAATTTGGGCGGTGGCCACACAAGAAGAGATCGAATTATCTAAGGTGTGTGAAGGGAAGCCCACCACTACGATAAGAGTTATCCCCCCTTTGTTTTTTGTAGAGCTACCCATTGGTTGTGGAGCGCATGGTCCATCTATCTCTTTACCTCCCTACTACCAAGCAGAAGAGAAGTTTGAAGAGAATGAGACTTTGTTAGATCCGGTAGGAACGAATGTCAGTGGATGGACGGGATTGTGGGAACCCATTGTAAGAGAGATTCCTAAGATGCCGCTAGAAAAAATGCCGGCGTTGTTAAGGCCAATCGATAAGATTGATGTTGGGCGGTTGAAGTTGGAGTTAGATAAGATAGGTACACCGAATTCGGGATGGAGAGAGAATTAGGTTGCTATAATAGCCTGGCCGACCGTTGTTGGAATTATACCAAGGATAGTCGTGGCCTTGCTGGTTTGGTGGTGGTTGAAGAGGCGTGTGGTGTTGTCGACCGGGCAGAATAAACTGGCACGGGAGTGCATGAGTGATTCAAGTTAGTGCACTTTACCAAGGTAGGTACCACCCGAGTGCATTGCGACCCCTCACTGATATTGAAGAAGAGTCTACGATTGTCGTGGAAGGACCTGAACCAATAAAAGATTCGACAACGCCTGTTGTGAAGGCGAGACAAAATCGGAGGGACAGATTTACAAAGTAAATCGATTTTTTTTTTCATTTATAGTAATGAGACTTAAATAATTGGTAAGGAGTGTTGCGAACTTCAAAAGGAAAAAAAAGAAAAAGGAAAGAACCCTCGAACTAGTGAACTATATGAAAAGGTTCTATTGCACGAGATCACCAAAACAGTGAACTTTAACCGGAAGTTGCATGTACATATGTGTCGTAAGGACAATGAAAATGTGAATGGACATAATGAGCCCTAAGAAGAACTGAGGACTCTACATTTGTGTTGTGTAGTTATTTCGCAGTGGAGGCTTGTATTTGTACTAAATCGGTCTTAAATAGTTCGACGTACAAAACGTTAGGAACTTGGTGTTACGCAGAGTAATCTTGTTGTGGTCGCAGACTACTTTCGTATTCGACTACTGTCGTTCGACATCGACTGACTCTCGCTTCTCTTACTACTCCTACTTATATTAGGTGGGAGAGTCTATTAACTATAGAATAGGTGTGTTTCACCATAACACCCACCTCCTAAAACTTTACTCCGTAGGAGTAAACAGTTTTCTTTATTTATTTTTTACAGGAAATATGAAGAAAAAAAAAAAAAAAAAAAAAAAAAAAAAACATCGTAGCGTATCTTCTACGTTTTGGATCCACTTTTAAAGGATCAGTTGCCTTTCTTTTTCTCCTGGATCGGCGTACCTCAGGTAAAATCGTTGCAGGCGTTGTTAGATCAAACGTATCGAAAATCACCTCCATCGGCGTTTCTTCCGCGGGACCGCTGTCAACCACGTCTGAAGAGCGTCATCTGATCTGGTTAATGTGCCTTCTGCACGTGAATTTTCCGCCTTTCACCAAGTACATCATGTTGCCAGTCCGCTTTTCTATTTTTTGGTACCTCCATAGTGTTACCAGAAACAACCTTCCGCTTTGAGCATTTTAAGGATGGGGTCACAGTTTCTGTAGGTTCTTCTTGTGGTTCTGTTCAGCCTCTAGCTTCCCTTTTGTGATCTTGTGCTTCTTAACGTTCTCTGTGGTGACTTCAGTTAGCTTAAATCATTTTATAATACTGCATGTCCTTGGCTGTGGGTAACTCGCTCCCCAGTTTTTCTCGGTGTCGGCTTCATCTTTACTTCTGAGGCTTTTTTTCACGTATACCGTCGGTGTTGCCCATTCACTATACTCAACTTTTTTTAAGTACACCGGTTTTCTCTAATCTGTCCAATTCTTTATCTATTTGTTCAATTGAGGCAAACGGCCATTCCTTTTCTTTTTGAATACCACCTGAGCGTTTTCTTTTAGCTGGAATTTTGCCTCCATCTTGGTACACGTTCCCAACCCTGGAGAAAAAACAGTAGGAAATGTTTCCTTAAGTTTCTTTACTAATTTTTGGCTTCGGTGTTTAAACTTTCTACCTTGTAACAGAAGGAATTTATCGGTAGATCCCATAATTGGAATTCTGTTATCCAATTCGTACCAAGTAAGTTCGTGGTATTTTCTATGACAAATAGTTTAGCTTTTCGCGTTTTTTTATTTAACGTGACGTTTGTAACAAATTCCCCAATAAATTGTATTTTTTCTCCCGTCACTGACCTCGCGATTTTTTTTGTCTTCATTAAAGTTGGTTTCCCCAACTTCTTCCACGTATGCAAATTTATGATAGATAGATCTGAGCCAGTGTTAAGTTGCATTTTTATATTTTTATTACTTATTTCGACGGTAACAAATTTTCTGGTTATTCCATCTTTTACCTCGTTGGACTTTAATTTTCTTATTTTATTGTCTTTATTTTTTGACCTGCAATGCGTGCTTTTATGACCCACTCTTTTACAGTTGAAACATTTTTTATTCCTAAAATCGCAATATCTGTACCAGTGTAGTTCACCGCAAGCAAAACATGGCTTCGGGAGTTTTTGTTTATTTTTCTCTGGTATTTCAATTTTTGCTTGATAATCCGCAATTTTAGAATTCTTTTTGGTAGACTGACTTTCTTCTTTGTAGCGTATTTTCCTTACATGCGAAACGCCAGACTGTTCTATCTTTTTTGAATCTTTCTTTACGCTAACATATCTTGTGCAGTCTTCTGCCAATTTCTGTTCCGTAATACTTGGATCGCTTTCCAATTTTGCCAGTACTAATTTTCTCAACTCTGCGTCTCTTTCCGATACCAGCCCCTGAACAAACACCAAGCACTTAAAATTGTCTGCGCTTAACTCTGCCAGCTTGAATTCTTCACAATGCTTATTCACATTGGCTGCGTACGTTATATAGTCTTGTTCGTCATCTTTCATCAGATTCAAACATTTCCACCTCTTGTGAAACAAAGATGTCTTTTTACTAGATAATTCACTTAATATATTTACCGCCTCGGTAAATGTCAACTCGTTATTTTTTTTTGGTAAAATGTAGTTTACCAATTTGCTATGCTCACCAGTTCCTAATTTGCTTAAAAGAAGCCTAACCCTCTTGCCTTCAGACAACAAGTGTCAGTCCTCGTTATACACGTCCGTATATTTTTTATAATACTCCTCAAAAGTTATCTCTTCATCTGGACTGTACGCGAATATTTCAATTGAATTCCATATTGTATTCTCTGGGAAAGAATCATTTTGTAGATTTTTCTCTTTCCTCTTCTCAGTTATTTCCAGAATTTTGTTTTGAAACTCCCTATGCATCTGTTCCATTTTTTGTTGGAATTGCATTTGTCTATTAAAATTTTCCTCCTGTAACTGCATCAGGAATGTTTTCTGTTGCTCTAATATTATCATCTGTTGTTCCGATTGGAACTTAAAGAATTCCCGGAATATATTTTTGCATTCCTCCATCTTCGCAAAAAGTTTACACAATGCCTAAATACTGTAGAGGGGGGGGGGCTACGAATTTGCAATTCGTGACCTATTTGAACAAACTGTATTATCGGGGAGAGAAAAATAATTCTTTTCTCAGTTGAGAATACGACAGATTTTTTCGTCACTAAGTTGACGTCTTGGATTGCGAAAAACTTTGCCAAGTATTTTTTTTTAAGTGTGAATCCGAGACTTTGTCGCCGAAGTTATTGTGGCGAGTGAATTTTTTCTTCCACCGTATGAGTTCGAATCCTCGTCGCCAAAGTTGTTGTGGAGTTATTTCGCAGTGGAGGCTTGTATTTGTACTAAATCGGTCCTAAAATAGGTTCGACGTACAAAACGTGAGGAACTTGATATAATAGGTATTACGCAGAGTAATCTTGTTGTGGTCACTGACTACTTTCGTATTCGACTACTGTCGTCCGACATCGACTGACCCTCGTTTCTCTTACTACTTTTACTTATATTAGGTGGGAGAGTCTATTAACTATAGAATAGGTGTGTTTCACCATAACACTTTGCATGCTGGAAGAAACGTATGTTTAAGGATCCCCCTAGTAAGAAGCATGGCGGACTGGGTTTTCTTATATTTTGTTGATATGAAAGGTCGTGTGTCATTTACTAGTAAATGACAGATGGGTAGGGGAGGCAATGCGACAGAGAGAGAGAGAGAGAGAGTTTGGGAAACACACACGTATATTTTTTTAGTGAAATTGGAGTAGATTTGAATAGCGAAATTAAATCAGAGCATTTTGTTTACTGATGGGTAAATCTGATCTAGGACAGAAGTTGTACCCATCGAATCTGGGTCATCTGAGACAATGGAAATGGGCGAAATAGTTTTTATTGATTGAAAATTGAAATAGAGCTGAGTAAGCTAGAAGTAACTTTAGAATTCACATGATTTTGGTTGAAGCAGCCAGAACCCCGTGATAATCGCGTGCGAAGTAGTAGGGCTGGGGGTCAGTTATAACCAGCCGGGTTTATCTATATAAACGCGTAGTTATGCTGAAAAAGACAGACGGGAGAAACTTCTTGAAGAGAGAAGAGAGAATTGGCCCGGGCGAGCGTTGGGAGGAGGAACGCCACTGTAACTTTAAGCCCCACACAGAAATCTTTATCCCGCCATCGCAAGAGTCATATATCGTTCTGAGACGATTTAACAACAAGATAATCATATGCACTCTCTGTCTAGAATCCAGTGTATGAGTTTTTTTTGTTTTTACTTTTCTTTTCTCTGACCAGTTTCTCTTCTCTACTATTCTTTTCTGCTATATAAAAGACATTACCAATTCAACCATTGAATCGATGTTATGCAGATATTAATTATTTTTTTGATTTTTTTTTTTTTTTTGCTGCATTCTAAATTTCTTAGCGCACACTCCCCAGCCGTGTCTACATCTTCAGTCGACCGTGAATGGACAGACATCACTTCTGCTTTCTGGATCAAACAAATCACAACGTGGGCAGGAAGCAGGATTAAACCAGCAGACCGGCCATATAATCTACGGATGCTCAGGGGACCTATTGCCACTCCCTTAAGTTCGGTTAGGACCGAATAGACGCCTCAACCCCGAGAGTAAGACGCCGGAGGTTGAGGGGCCGGGGCGATAGTGGTAGAGAATAATTATTTAGTGTTCATGGTTGTGAAGGACAAAAATTGTTGTACTCATCTGAAAATTACCATTTTATATTTGGAATGCTGCGTCATGGCTTTGGTGACGGACACCATTTAAGCCTTAATGAGAATAGAAACAATAGTCATAATAATGACTATAAGAGCAATTTATATAAATATATATATATATATATATAATAGTGACAATGATAATTATAATAGTTGTGGTAACCCTAAAAATGAAGGTAATAATAATAATAATAATGATAAGCATTACTAATGGTGGTAGAGATGGTCATGAAGTGATTGTTCTTAAAGTGGTAACAACAGTACTAATAGCGAAAGTAATAGTCGTAATTTTTGGTAGGTTCATAAATTTATTTCTATTAAAGATTTTTTTCATTGGGTGATAGTTTACTAATTCTGGTGCAAATGGTAGTGGATATTTGTCTTAGGATTGCACTGAGGTGGTTAGAACCGATATTAATGTAGTTTGGAGTTTCGTTCTCTTTATGGTAGGGTGTTAACGTTTTTTCATTAAGGTTACGGTGTTTAGGCCGTCAACTATTTTAAGGTTAGAGGAAATTTCAATCTTAAACCCTAGGAATTTGAAGGACCTGACAATTTTCTTTTGTAATTTCGCTGTTAGTGGACCGTTACTATTAGGAATGGGGATGAGTCCGTCATCCCTATACAGTCCTAATAGTTCCGGCTTTACGATTCTACTAAGTATATCTAAAATATAAAAACATACTAGATCAAAGAAAAAGTCGTATGTAAATTGGGGACATCAAATTCGTCGTTGTGGCACTTTGTCCAGGTGGAGTTATTCACTGTTAATAGTGATTTTCTCGTCGTTAAGATGATGATAGTTACATCATCAGTTATTTCTATATAGTTCTTTGTGAAGTTGATACTATTAACTAATAGGTTTCTCGTGATCGAGGAATAGAAATCAATTATGCCAAACTTAATGAACGTCGGTTTATACTTATCCCTCATGTTGGTGAACCATTTAATAGTATCTGACGAATCCTTCCAAAGGTTAGCACAAGTTCTACCACTTCGTCTCCAGCCCCATAACCTCCAGCGTCTTCCCTTTGGGTTGAGGTGTCCAATCGGTCCGAACCGAATTTTATGGGTAACTGGCCGTACTTTTTTATTTTTTAGATTTTTTCGACAGGTCAACTGGTCAAGTCCCCAGATACCCACGACTGTGTTAGTTTTTAGATCCAGTAACCGAGGTGTTGTCCATATGTTCACGGCGACTGGGGATGTGGACACGGCTGTCCATGGCTGAAGGAAGTTTTAGAATGTGGCAAAATAAAACAAGAAATAATATTTTTTAAGTCAGACAACAATAGGGAAATATTGACGTCTTTTTATATAAGAAGATAACATCAGAACACAGGTTACAGGGAGAATAAAGACATTTAACATAGATGAGAAAAGAAAAAGAAAAAGACAAAATGCATCCAGCGAATTCCCAACAGGTTTGTGTGTGATAAACGCGTATTGAATCACCTGGCCTATGTTTATGACTAATAGTCCAGTCTCAGAACAGGGGTTAGTCTTCTCTCTCTCCTCCAAAATTCTCCTTCAAATCTCTCCACTCACTGCGACGATAGTCTCGTGACTCTGTCGACTCCAGTCTCTTTCCCTGACTCTTCCGTCTCTCCTGTAGCACCGCAACCCGTAATGGTCGCCTGCGGGTGCTCACGCATGTGACGACGAATTGCGGTCTCTCTCGTCTCTCTCTTCCGTCTGCACTCGACGGCATACCAGCCAACCACTCTCCCAACAGATTTCTGTGCGCGTTTATATAGATAAGTCTGGCTGATCGCAAATCGACCCTTGGTCCTCAAGCGATTATCATGAGTGCCAAAAACTATCCCTTTACATGTAAACCTATTCTCCAATTATTTACCTTATCTCAATCACGAGTTCTTCTCACGCTTCACCAAAATTATACTTTTAATCAAAACAAAATCAAGTATCTCGCTCATCCCCATTGTTTACTAGTGACCCAGATTTAAATCATCGCCTCCTGCCCTGCGACCGTGTTTCTCATCGGTAAACACACATCTTAATCCAAATTGTACTTTGATATATAAACACCATTTCCACTTCCAGTCAATAAAAGTTATATTTGCGTGTGTGCATACATGTGGATGTGTGTGTATACCTTCTCTGTTACAGGTTGTGATTAGCAGTTTAACGGTTATTTTTTAAAAAATATGCTTTGTAAGATTAAGCCTAGTTCAGTTTTTGTTGGGTTTATTAGTCTAGATTGTGTAATGCTAGTGAAGTTCGGTTTATGGTGCTTAAACAATATGTAGGCATCCTTAATGTGGGTCTCTTACACTCTCTGCAATATTTAACTTGTTGTCAATTTCGGTGACCTCTGTTCGATATACATATATATATATATATATATATATATAGTAGTGGAATAGTAGTAGTGGACGAATTCCAATTGAATCCATTACATTCACTTATGTGCTAATACGCTTCTTTCTTTCTATGTGCCGTGTCCCTTGTGGCTCTCAAGATTATATATATATATATATATATATATATATATATATATATATGTAAATATATATATTATATCAATATATATATATATATATATATTATATATATATATATATATATATATATTATATTTTATATATATATATATATATATATATATACATATTATATTGCATATATATATATATACATACATATTAGGGGAATATATATATAAATACATATTATATTACGCATATATATATATATATACATACATACATATTATATTACACATATATATATATATATATATATACATACATACATATAGGAGATTCAAGTATATATATATACATTTTATATTACGCATATATATACATACATATTACATTACGCATATATATATATATATATATATTACACATGCTGCCATATATGGTCTGGAGCCCTTTCTGTTTGCCTCGGAGTTCTTGATAAGATCCAGAAGCGGATATGCAATATAATTGTCCCTGTTCTGGCATCTCGTGTACAGTCGCTCTCCCACACACGATTGTAGTCGCATCTGTTTTTTTTTACAAATACTTTCATGGTTAATGCCTCCGAGGTTGTTGCATTCATGGTTCCCAGACTTCATTAATTCAAGCACCTTACGAGGTTGGCAACTCCACCCTTTCATTGTCGAAGCTATTAAATGTAACGGTGTCTTCATCCAATAGGAATATGTCGCACCTCTCGCCTGTGGAACTCCCTTCCCTATTCCAGTTTCCCTGAGAGCTATAATTCCAACTATTCAACAGTAATGTCAATCGACAACTCCAGTTTTTGATCTATCCATTATCCTTTCCTCATTCTTTCCTCTATTACTCCTATCTGATCTTGCTCCAGATCTTCTGTAACCATTTGCGTCCTCGAATATGCCTTGCTTGGGATGAAACGCTTAAAAAAAAATTATAATATACATATATATATTATATATAATAATTATTTTTTAAAAATATGATTCCTTCGCTTCTCATGTTTCAAAAACGACAGCCGAAAACCTTAATATATAGGTATTAAAATTAAAGCCCTGTTTCATCCTCAAGCGAGAATTTTGGAATAACCAATCTTGAAATTTACGCATCTTTATAAGGATTTTCATTCGGAAAATTAATTACTATGGAAACGGCTGGGGTGACCATTTTGATAAGGTGCCTAAGAGTTAATTTTTATCCACATATCAGTCACCTTCGGAAAGAGGTCAAGCCGAGGTAGGGTCGGGGTATCCATTTCAAAGCAAATTATGGCATTTATGTGCGCACATCGTCTAGTCAGTCACAGCGAAAGATAACTTTTGGCACCATATGTCGTTAGGTGTCTAGAGAATTTTGTTTTATTTTTTCCAAAGGGCTGTTTCGTACTTTAACGCGTCGCACTGAACTACAATTTGTTTGGGGGTTTTTTTGACTTCATAAAGGGTTTTTCTATCTTATGATTGGGTTAAGCTTTTAAACCTTTTATTAGACTATGAACTTTTTTTTTTTTAATGCTAATTATTTAATGCGAAAATTTGTTGATCTCGGCAGAAAACCGTTAACTCATGTCTATGGTTTAATAAATTTTCATTATTTAGAAACTTAATAATGTGTAATTTTTCATGTAGTCATAAAGGACATGGGTCATCCCAGGTTTTACAAGTTCTTGTTCTATTTATTATTTTCTATTTTACTTTTGGTGTTTTATTCATTTCTTTTAAATGCCAAAAATATTTGGATAGAGATGTTTAATTTCTAATATTATTGAAGGAGCTTTTGTGTTGTCTCCATCTAATTTTAAATTCATTCTTCATTGAACCAATGTATATCCTATCAGTGTTAGGACTCTCAATGGATGAGATACTGCATTGGTATACCACAGATTTTGTGCGGCATTTATTTTCCAACGAGCAGTCTTCAGGGTTTCTACAATCACATAATTTTTCATTATTTTTGTCTAATTTTAGTTTAGGATTTTTATTAATACTGTTTTGGCATGTGTGTTTTTTATTATTATGCTTTTTTTTATGATTCTTTCTAGATTTTCAGTGCAACTGTAACTTAATTTTAAGGTGTTTTTATTAAAGATCTTGCTAAGTTTGCTATTAGGGGTTGACTCGTTGCTGCTATCAGTCCGTATCTTGGTCGATCTGGTCATTCTCGGTTCGATACCAACTTGTTGTTCTCAGCTCCGAAGTAACTTCGATCTCAAGTCTAACCTACCCATGTTGTGATTTTGATGTTAGGTAGACAAAATCAATCAGTCACCAGGGGCCATTGTGCAAGGCGAGTCTAAACTGGAGGTCACGTCGCACAAGTAAAAAGAAATAAATGAAATCCAAAAAGGTTCTGGTGTGTTTAAAGAAATCAAATCAACTTTTATTACGGGAGTGTGTTTTCTTCCCCTACTATACATATACTTCTAGGCAAATTCTGGTCTTCTAAGTTAACTAGTTTAGTTTTTTGGTACTGACTTAGCAAGTTACACTGACGAATGAAACTGTTTGTAGGAAGGTGAAGTTCTCGCATTGGCAGGAATTGTGGAATCTCTCAGCTCTCTCCATCTGTAAAACGCGAACTGCCTGAGGGCACTCACTTATATGGACTTCAGTCAAAACCCAGTGTGGGGTTAGACGCAGCCTGGAGTTTTCGGTGAATTTCCGATTTCCAACAAAAATCTCTTGTCTGGCCAGGAAATTAATTATTTCCAATTTCTGGAAAATTAATTACTTTCTATTTCTGAGGGGATCTCTTCGTCCATGAGGAGAGGTTGCAGGATAGCTATTCTCCTAAACTCCTTCCTCCTCACATTATTACCTCACACCAATTCCTTTCTTTCGCCCTATTTTACCTCTGCCTACCACACAACAAATGGTGTCTCGGTCGTGCAAGCATGGCTATGCTGGCTTCTTTAATTAAACCTGTGACACCTCTGCTTATTCAGGATTTCTTATCCTGTTCCCAGATCATGAGCAGTTAGCATTATCAACTAGAATTGTGTTTACGCAACTCCCTTTTTATGCCCTGCCAAAATTCCTACAAATAACACATGGCTTTCTCGTCTGGCCATTTCCTCAGTCATATTACCTACACAATATCTATGCACTCTTAAGCGAGAGATTGCATCTTTGTTGATTCTACTTATTTCACATGTACTGAATCAACAATTCCTGACGCACGTTATTAATCACCGTCAATTCGGCCACTTACACTTTCATAACTTGCGAATCTGTCGTTTACAGCATCATGTTTACTTGACAGTCACCTTGCTAGGTCATAAACTTCTAATCACTTCAGGCTTGCATGATTAATTAGTTTATACCTGCTAAATTGCCTTATTGCAAAAATTATCTCTTCCGCCATTCTCGCTTTTGAATATTTATCTTCTTTCTTAAAATTAAATCTTTGACAAAATACCGAGAAAAAAAAACTTTTAACTCTTCTTTACAGTTTTCATTATTTTCTTGTCCAATTCTATGACTAATTAGCTATGGTAATTAACTAATTAGTCTCACACATCTATAATAAAGCATATAACTTCATCTTTTGAAAAAAGATGAAGTACAAATTCAACAAATATTCTATGAACATAATAATGTCTATAATAAAGCTCTAAAGAAGAGTGGCTATAAATGCCTTAAACTCAATTATATAAAAAATGAAAATGGATACCACGGAAAAAAAGAAACAGAAATAAAAAAAAATAATTTGGTATACACCACCATACAACGAAATTGTAGAAACAAGTTAGAACAAAAATTTCTTGCATTAATCGATAAACATTATATATATATATATATATATATATATAATGTAATGCAAATATCTTAAACACTTACACCAAAAAATATAGATCCTAAAGTTAAAAGAAATGAAGATAAAAAATTAGAAATTCTCAAAACTATCTTAATAATAAATGCCATATTGAATCAATTTATCAGTACAATATTTCATCTACTGAAGATCCAGAAATAGAAATTCTACATTGGATGCATACGAAATTAATTCAAAAGAATGTGGAGCCAATCTCAAATATTCTTTAATAATAATAATAAATACCGAAATCAAACCTCCCTATCTAAATACTTCTGGGACTTAAAAGAAAACAACAGTAAAATGGAAATTAATAAGAAAAGCTAGAGCTTAGAAGTCATTTGGATGCATGTCCTTAGGGCATACTTGAAAAATTATACAGTAAGCTTCTGAAAAATAAAAATTTACATAATCAAAGAAATGAAGTAGGTATTTTTTGTAGGCACTGTCAAAGATTTTCCTTAAGTGAAATTTAATTTTGAAAAAAAAAAAAAAAAGAACCATTTAATATTTGATCTTTAATTAGTAATTGAATTCTAATATATTTGTTTGTAAAAATATTGTATAATCTATTAGTCATTAGAAGGTGGAATGATAATTTTACTCTAATAGATTTAAAGTAATAAAATTTAAGTATTAATAATGTCTAACACATATTCAAATGACCCTTTTACAAAGTCTTTGTGTATAAAAATATGAATTAAGCAGATGAATGAAAATGACAAATTTTTTTTTATTCGAAAACCAGACGGCTCACTGAAGGATAGAACTCTTTGTAAACAACATTGAAAATTCAATCCTATCATTGCTTGATAATGGAATGAGACTATAGATTTGGAGTTTAATTTTATTAATTTATAAATTTTGTTTCAGTTTTGAAACAGGGAAATAATCTGTGTTGCGATGGAAACAATTTTTTAAAAAGAAAATTATATATATATATATATATATAGTGAACATAGAAGTCAACACTTAGAGGCGACAGTCTGTTTCATGCTATATGCAATCCTCAGGCCACAAGTGCTGTTATTTTTCTCAGCTATTTATATATATATATGGGTCAGTGGTGCATTGTGGGTAGTCTATTTTGGCGGTTATTTATTTACTTAGGTTAAATTATTTTGCTTGTTTTTATTTATTTTTTTTTTATTTCTTATCTTATATATTTATTTATTTTTTTAATCGGTGTTTTTATTAACGTAGTAAAAATTTCTTTATATCGCTTATTTAATAGTTTTGTTTTGGTTTGAAAACTTAAAGCTATTTATTTGATTTTGGGGTTGATTGTTGTAGTTAATTCTATTATTTTGGCGGGAACAGTTTTTAATTTGTATTTATTTGGATTGATTATGTTTGTTTTTTAACGATAAGTTTATCAGGATTAGTTTATTTATTTGGATGAATTTAGGTCAATTTATTTTACTTGTTATTTATTTGTATATTTTCTCTTTTTGGTTTTTGATTTTTAAGTAATTTTTTTTTTATCGTTATATAACAGTTACAGCTATTTTTTTGGTTTGATTTTTTGCTTTGATTTTTTAGTCTAATATTTTGGTCATAATGGTGTGCTACTTTGTTTATTATATACTTTATTTGGGTTCTTTTTTTTTTATTATTATTCTATTTCGTCTATTCTAACAGGTGTGATTAGTTAATTTGTTTGGGTTAATTCATTTTGCTTATTTTATTGTGCAACTGTAGCTGATTTTTACTGCGTTTTTGTTGAATATTCTGTGTAGGGTGCTTGATTCCGGGAAGTGTTTGTGTAAGAGTTTGAAGAATATTTTTCCTACATTTGTTTGTACGTTTTTGCTGTACGGTGGGTTGAACCATATGATATTTCTTTTCCTATTGGCCTTTTTTGTGTTCTGTGGTGAGTATGTGAGTGTTGCTGGGAATCCGCTATCTTTTAGGGCTGTTTCATAGTCTTTCTTAGCTTTGTTAAATATGGATTCACTGGAGGAATTGTCGGAAAGCCTGCGGTTAATCAATTTTGGTATCTGTTTGATTATAGAAGGTGGGTGGTTGGAAGATGTGTGTATATAGAGTGGTTTATCATTAGGTTTTCTATATGGTTTATATGTGCCTTTTCTTAGGTTGAAAGTAACATCTAGGAAATCTACTTCGTTTAGGTTAGTTTTTATATTTATGTCGAATCTGTTATTTTTAAAAATCTTTATTATTGCTTTTCTAGTTTTGTCTGTGTTTTGTTTGTTACAGTTTCTTAAGATTATGAGACCATCATCCCTGTAGAGTCCTGTGTCATTTCTATCTATTATTTTGCTTAGTTCATGTAGTAAGTAAATACCTATGATTTCGTATGTCTCTGTACTGTCAAAGCTTCCCATTGTAGTGTCAAATATCCCATCTTGATTTATCCATGCTTCTTCATTGTGGAATAGTAATGACTGGTTCCACAGCATGAATAACAAACAAAATTGCCAATTCCTACAATTAGACTTAAAAGAATTTTACCCATCCATAACAGAACGCATGTTAGATAAGGCCATCAACTTAGCTCAGGAACAAATAATAATAAAACCAAGCAAAATCGACATCATTAAGCACTCCCGTAAATCATTAAATCCACTCAAACCAGCAGCATCACCATCAACTGAGTTGGCATGTTTATTGTCTTCACAACTAGTTGCCAAAAGTTCCTGCCTTGCTGTTGCTGCCTGCAAATGACGTCACCATGCAAAACTCCACTGTAAATACAGATCCTTATAAATAGATGACCCTGCATGACACCCAACATTTCATACTTGACTAGCAATAATAAACACTACCTGTTTACTCGTAAGCAGCTGCCCATGGCATTGGCAGTCTCGCAATTCAAACTTGGAAGAAGGTATCTGGTATTGGGGATTTCAATCCTGTAGCTGCACATTAATCATCACACTAAGAGATATCGGAATCCATGTAAACATTAACACCAACTTTACAGTGGGTAATAGATAGTAGGCATAACAAAATCTACCATTTTTGTGTTTTTTTTAATCTACAGCTATTCACTACATACTGTTAACTTTGATGATCCTATTTTTTCTTTTCAGATCAAAGGTTAAAGAAGGAATTACTTGATACATGCTGACAGCAGTAAATATGGACAAAATAAACCTGCTCTTTGTTTTTACTACACATTTATTACTATGCAGAACAAATTTTAGAGTTTAGATAAAAAAAACCCCAAAAACGAACAAACAGAAACAGCAAAAGGGAGAAACCAAATTTTCAAAAGGTGGTGCAGTCAAATTCAACAATACGAAAGCAGCAGAAAGAAAATAATTTTGAAAATAAAATTTTAATATATTTTGACTGGCAAAAACGAAAAAAAAAAAAAAAATAAAATAAAAAAACATAAAATGGAACTTTTAAAATACAAAACAAACATGAATTTACATTCACTAAGCATACACTCACACCATTATTCTTTTATTTCAATATGGAAGAAAATAGTCATTACATTTAAAAGAAGAAAAAAAATAACATTGCAATAAATGCAATGAGGGTTAATATAAAAATAGATATTCATCCAATTATAAATATAAACAAATAAGGGAGGGGAGTAAAATAACTAATAAATATTCTAAATGGCCACAGTTAGGAATGTAAACTCCAGATTGTTCACTTTTGGAGGTCTTTTCATCCACGTATGATAAAATACAAAGGGGAATAACTCTTCATCCACGTGTCAAAATAAGGAAGGGAAATAACTCAGTACTTACCCCTTAAAAACGATTTAGATTTACGATTGATTGTATTGTGTTCATTCTTTTCTGTTTATTTTAATATAAATTTCCGTTGAAATCATTTGGAGATCCAAGATACCAATATACAAATTAGGAAGAACTTTTTGTTTAGAATATATGCCCTTTTCTCAGCAATTAAAACTAAAGATGATAAAAAAGGAAAAGTTCCTACTATCTGGAAGCTCATATTTGAAAAGAAAAAAAAAAAAGAAGTCATTTTTGCTTTTTAAACTTGTCGAGACTCAAAAACAAAAAAAAATTCGAAAAATATTTAAATTATTATTGGTTTTACGTCATCAACATGTTCAAAAACTGACACATTCTTTAAATTCTGATTATTGCCGTCTGTAATTCTTATCAGCTTTGTCACCTCTGAAAAGATAAAAAGGGATAAAGAATTTGTACTTTCTGAATTTACTTAGATTTATTGCAGCATAATAAATATAAAAAACATAAATAATAAAAAGCATCCTCTTATAATTATGCTTGTTTGTCCCTTCATTAGTTCGCACGGCAGTTACGCCCTGTCAATACCTCATAAATAATGGACTATTGCATGGAGAGAGATGAAAAGTCACTACTTGATTTCAGCGAGAAAAGAAAAGAAGGGTAGCTAGAAGTGGTGAGAGAATTACATTAAGCTGATAAAAACAGATACTACACTTTGATCTTAGCCAAAAGGCTGAGAAATGACTGTATTTACTTGCTACCCCACACTGGCAGGATGTGACACAAACTCAGCTTAAGGTGGGGAGCTGAAGCACATACAGCTGGCCAGATTCAAAAAATAGCCCAGCCACTGCAGTCATTAGTTGAACTGGTATCAGTATTACTACTGATTCCACCCTCTTTAGTGCAATGAGGGAGGTACTGCTGCAGGCAGCTGTTTCCCAGAGACTGGGCACTACTCAAAAATATTTTCAGCTGTGCTCTGTCTAGAGACACAAGTGAGAAATAAAATATAGTATCTGCTCTCAGGCGGATAAAGTACATTTTTATCCCAGCTCAAAATATGAAAAGTGATGACCACTGCAATAAAAAGCATCATTTTTCAGATGCACAACATCAAATTAAGGCAATTGCCAAAATCCAGTTACCATAAATAAAATAACATTGTTTGAATTATTTTAAAATTATTATTAAGAGAAATGTTCTTAAGATGGGGATTTGGTTACTCCTAATAAATTAAATACAAATCCCATGAGTTACTGAATGATAAATGAAGATTACTAGAATATGGTGGATAAATAATGACTGACCCTAATCTTGAAGGGTTTAAGATTGTGGTATTCTGGAAAGTATTACTGCAGGAGACTGTTCTACCAAATAGTAGTTCTTGGGAACAAGCCTTGAATAGTTTTTTTAAATTTATATTTTATTTTTTTAAATGCCAGGTCCATTAAGGACATGGTCGATTAGGACTCTCCAGATTCCTTTTCTTTATCTATGAAGAAAGTCATGATCTCTTGGGGAAACATTTTGGAGTGGTTTCCTGTTCCTTTTGCCACAGTTTCAAATTCAGAGTCTTCTTTCTCAGACTGGGCTCTCTAACCTTCTATTTAACCCATAGCTGAGTCATTCTGTATCAAATTAACAAGGGTCTGATCATCACCAATACAGAATTATTTCAAATTTGGTACACTTATAGAACTTCATGATAGAAACTGAATGGTACTTATTTTACATCTTTAGGTCAAAGGGCTCCCGAGATATGATACTTTGATCCTTGACAAAATGGTGAATTTTTGAAAAATAGTCACTTCACACAATAAAAATGTTATCAATTTGTACAACCATAAGGCTGACTTTGGTAGAACCATTAAGAGATTAGCAGCAAAAGCAAACCTTTACATTAATTCATGACACATTTTTAAATATTTTCATTATATCATTTTTTCATATAAAAATCTATTTTTAATATGTATCATTCAATTTCTATCATGAACTGTAACAAATTTGAAAAAAATCTATTGTTGATCGTCAGATTCTTGTTGGAATGGGATAAAGAGATGCATAAAAGCCAATCTCACCCTGGATTTTGAACTCCACTCCCTAATTTCACTTCCCACACAGATAACCATTAAACTACTTAAGTGCATTCACTAAAAATAGTCAAAATACTAAATTGACAAGGGAGAATATTTTCCTTGCATCACAAACTGCATACGTCTAGTTATAAAAAGAAAATAAAGTTTAAATCTTACAGCAGATAATTTATTCAAGTTGTCTGTGATTTCCTGGCGGATTTCAGACAGAATTGTGCCCTTGAACTGTAAGAGGAAAAAAAATCATATTTGTCCAGCAAACCAACATAGATAGAAAATATAAAACAATTTAATGACAGAAGGGCTTGTATTTTTGTCTGGTGACAAATCTATAGAATTGTTTACTTTTTGCTCAACATTGCATAAATTCCAAAAATGTAATTCATTTACTTAAGGTGTTTCATGTTCATTTTTTTTTAATAGAATTTAAGAAAAAAAAATTAAATTGCATTCAATTTACAAACAAAACAATTCCTTATCAACCAATAGAAGATGTGACTCTTCTAATTAAATAGAAAATGTGGATCCTTTTCATTGATAATGCAAATTAAGTATTTGAAGAGAATTCTCCAATATGACATCATATATTGACATGAAATCTAAACTACTTATGTTGCTGTCATATAATTAAACTAACTCTTCATTTTCACACATTCTTAACTCTGCAAGGTGATATACATCTCATTAACAACATCCTGACACTTTTTTTTTTTTTTAAAATGGCACCACCCATGAAGAATATTTGTTATTTCTATAAAAACATACCTCTCCAAGAAAAATTTATTTATTTTACTTATTACCATTGATTAAACTCTGTAAATCATAGATATTTCATTTTTTGTATTATTTTTTACATTTTAAATAGAAGGTCAGTTTGCTATGTAAATCCATTGTAAACTGATCCCCCTCTGCAAGCCAAAAAATAAAGTTAAGAAAAGTAATAAGTGGAAATGGTAAGAATATTCTTTAATTTAATTTCACAACTGTTTTGAAATTATTTGACATTTTATACATAAACATTATTTTAATACAACACATGAAAAAGCTAAGAAAAATATGCTTTATCACATATGAGCATATTTATTTTTTCTGGCTTGCATGGGTGAGAGCCAATTTGCAATGAATTTACATAGCAAACAGAATCCCACTCTCAAATGTTAGGAAATCATTTTTTTTTTTTATCCTGAGTACTTAGTCAATAAAAACATACAGAAAATATTTCTTGGAGAAAAAGTCGGAATATTATTGTAACTTTGCCATTGAATGAAAAAAGGAATGCTCCTTCAAGGAGCAGATACTTTCCTGGGACCACCACCATTGTCAACTTTCAAAATCCAGTACTACTAAATTTTTAAGTTTGTTCAAAAAGAAGCTGGATTAATTTGAGAAAATCAATTCCAAATATAGTATAATTTTGACAAGTTTGCTTGTAGATCATGAATATTTTGTAAGCAAATCATAAATATATCCTCTGCTTTTTGCTATTTCTCTATTCAATTAAATATTCTTTCTTGATATGGTAAGCAGTCCACATCTACAGCATTATAAATTTCACTCCTTAGGGGTTTATTTTTAAGATAAGCTGAGTTATATAAAGATATCAATGATAAGCTGAGTTATATAAAGATATCAATTAAAGGTTTAGTAACACTAGGCTTTCAAATAGAGACCAATTCACTACTTAGAGCTCCATATAGCAACCTTATTTCTCAGAGGGAAGAAAAGAAAATGATATTCTTTGTTAGGATTTTTAAAGTTCCACCTACATCATAGATATTCAGTCTTGTAAATTTTAAAATAGAACAAAGTATCTTGGAAGCATATATAATAACTGCTGTTCTGAAAAAAAAAACAACTGGCATTTCTTTTCTTGATTTTGTAAAAAGATATTCAAAGATCAAACTTCATTTGACAAAGACATGAGAAACATTCACCAAGTGAAACAAAGATGTATAGATTGGATTTTGAAAGTGAACAGAGCATTTCTCACAGAATGATTTCAAATAGCAGCATTTAGATAGGTAGGATTTTCATTTCTTTTAATTTTTTTTTTAGTGGGTGGAGGTGGAGTTCAACCCTGTATAATGTCCAGTAGCCACTTGAGGTAGCAGGTTACAGTAACAGACAGTTTATGTTGATAGGAAGAGAAAATAACAGTTAACCTTAGACTTCAAAAAGTTAAGATCATAGTGATCAGGTAAACATTCTCTTGGGAGTTGGTTTCCACAGTGCAGTGGTTCATAGGAAGAAGCTGTTCAAGTGAAATTTACTTCTTACCAATGAAATACGGATGGAATGTGGGTAGTTTCCTACATGGCGGGTCCTACATGTTAGAACAGGAATGCAGTCTGTCCAAGCATTTTAAAGGTAGCGATAGTTACAGACCCAAAATATTAAACAACTTTATTATTTAATTTACATGAATGAAGACTTCAGTGACGAATTTATGGAGAAAAGGTTATTCATTATCGTAAATAAACATTTTTAAATAAGAAATAACTATTCAAGTATAAAAGTTATATCCCTTTATTTTGATTTTTCGACAAAGGCTTCAATGGAGAAGCCATTTTCAAGCCAATTACATTTGTTATGATTAGCTCCCCTAGTACCGGACATAAAGAAGTTTCAATATGATTACTGACATTTTTTAGTCATAGTTTTGCTGATGTCAGAATTATTTCATTTTTTTTTTTTTTTTTTTAATACAAGGTTCTTTGGAATTATCACCCTAATATTCCACTCCCCTACTCTAGTATGATGTCAAAGTTTACATATCTACTTTTCCACTTGTTATTATTTTCTGTCTTAATAGATTACTTCCCCCTGCAATGGATATACAATCGTACCAACAAATGTCAATTGAATAGGAAATATTTATCAGTCTTCATATTTGTTAAATTGTTTAAGAGTTTCCATATTTCTTAAATTAGCTTTTCTTAAAAAGTCATAGAAAGAAACAAAATTCCCACTGCAACATGAGAAAAATTGATAATTTTCAAAATTTGCTTGTTTGTAATTGATAAGTTACCTTGTGGAATCTTCCACAACAAACCAGCCTTACCTATTTTTAGAAAATACACTCTATCCTATCTGGTAAGTAAAATTCTACTTTCATACAATATAACAAGTATTCATTGGTCAATCACCTCCAATCTAGCTTGCTGATTGGTCAGTTCCGACCAATCAAACTGCCTGCACGCGACCAATCTGTTTTCCCGCTCATATGTTAGGAGCCACTTGACCATTATATAAACCAAACACGTGTGAACCTTTTGAGTAGTTAGTTACCAAGTTTCAAGATGTAACCTTCACCGACTCCCGTCTTAGTCATTGCTGACGTTAAAGATAATTACCAACATTCACGAACTCTGAAATCACTCCTGAACTTTTACCAACTTTGCAAACTCACAATTCCAAACTTTCTTAATATGAACTCCGGTACAACTAATACCTAATCAAGGGGACACGACTCTGTCCTACCTTTTCACTTCGCATGCATGTACATCAAACATTAATAAATCTAATTGTTATGTTTTGGAATCATTCAGTTCAGTTTTGTATTTTATTCTATGTGCTATTTACGTCACGTATAAATTGCATTGCTTTCACGCATTGTCCTTAATCACATCTTTCCTAGCCCAAATTAAATATTAGTAACACGTACTACTATAAATGGCAACCCCGATGTTCGTCGTAGGACCAAACCACATACATCTATATATATATATATATATATATATATATATATATATATGGAGATGATTACATTGGAACAAATAATAATGGTAGATAAACCACTTCAACCTCATTTTGTAAACAGAAGTTCAGATTGTTTAACCAATTGTTTGTATTCGAGCTATTTTCTCATGAGAATAAACTGAAAATTAGCCACAAAAACATTTCCAGGAATGTTTTCTGTTCACTAGAACATACAAAGGAGGGGAAAAAGTAGCGAAAATGTGGTGTTTAGAAGAACAAAAAAGAATGATAAAAAATCTCTTCAAATTTAACTTCATTTTGTTTGAAAATTGAACAAGAATTTTGCCAAACCCTTTAGATGTATATTTATTCAGATCAGAGACAGTGAGGTTCTCTGAAAAATAATGAATAGCAATGAAACAGGGGGAGCTCAGACCATTTACCCAGCCATATTGAAATTTCTACCTTTTTATTTTACAAAGAAGCCACTTATATAAATCTTACCAACCGATTAAGTAAAGGATATAAAAATTGGATCAATTTTTCACTGTTATGAATTAATTTTTATAACTTTAACTGTAAAAAATTAATTTCAAATTTTAAATCTTGCATGAAATATTTCTTTAAATTCATTTTCAAATAAAATGTTTTGGAACTAACTGATTTTGATAGTATTATCTGTAGAAAGTAAAAAAAAAAAAAAGGTCTTATTTGATATATCTAAATTATTAATAGTAATACAGTGATTACAATTCATCAGTGTTTTGTTCAATATAAGAGTGAAAAAAAAGTTTAAAGTTTACCTAAATTATCATGGAGGTCTAAAATACATGAACACCTTGCAATATGGGAAGTTAAATATTAAATTTTTTATATTTTATAAAATTGAGTTTTAAATGTTTATGAAAAAAAATGTTTTAACAAGATTTTATAAAAACAAATGAGAGAAGTTTAAGTTTTGGTTTGTAAAGGTTTTTATCATATGCTGTCATTTGAATGATAAGAATAAAAGATAATACAATGAATTTACGTTGTGTATTTCTCTCTGTATAGTATCAATCTTATCTCAGTTCTCTATGTTACATTTAGCAAATGGGTTCACTGACTAATCTCCTTTGTTCACCCTCTGCTCTCTATTTATGTTGTCATTCTCATTTGCATATGATACTACACCTCCCTGAATTGAAGAAGCCGAACACTCTTTTACTTATACTATTTCTGATTATTCTCATGCCATGCTCTCCCTCCTCCTGTCTTTCTTGTTTTCTCTTTAATGGTGATCTTGGTCTTTCTTCATTTTCTTCCCCACTCATCCATCTTTTCTTTCTCACTTTCTTCCATTTCCTGCTCAGTTCCATTTTTGTGACTTTCTGTCTCTTCTTACTCTTGATCTTCCATTTTCATGTCATCCAATTCGTTTCTGCTTCTGAATTAATCTGCATATGCTATTATATTTTGTGCCTTTTTTTTTCCAGTATAGCCATGTTGTGTCCGTTTCATATCATGAAATTTGCCTCTTCCAGATC